TGGATGAAACATTGAATCGTGATAGAAGAAATACTACAACTGGTTTAGCTACTGCAGGTGGAAATTTTTTTTCTAGTTTTAAACGTATATTTGGTACAGGAGTAACAAATGCGACAAATGATAGACTTTATCGTACATCAGCATTATATGTTTCAAGTTCTATACCAACACATGAACTTTATCATTGGGTAAAAATCAAGTTTTTTTTTTTTTTTCGTTAATTAGTTTGAATGATCTATATACTAAAAATCTGATAGAATTAGAGAAATTTTATTTAACTGCTATCTCTTTTTTTGTGAATTACTGTAAAAATCTCGAATTGGAATTTTATTATCATTTAGTTAGTTTTATATAAAATTATTGATTTGATTTGTTTCACAAGAGAAGAAATTATTCTGCTTCACTAACAAGTTCATTCACTCTTATTCAGCTTATGAAGGACAAATCGATCTTCATAATACTTAAGAATTCTCAGAATAGAAAAAAAAAATAGTTGTTTTCTGAGAAGAAAACACAATGTCTATTTGTACTTATTCTTTACAAAAGCTAAAATTTCTTATAGGTCATTAAACTCGACGTTAAGCACAAATATTTTTTTTTGTTTGTTTCTGTACACGTTTAGAATAATGTTGAAAAACAAAAACAAATGAGAGTCGAAAAAGATTTGTTATTTTAGGATTGTACTGAACTAGAAGTATATACTCTATTATTTCAACCATCTGGAACACTTTTAGCTACTGGAGGTAGTGATAAAATGGTTCATCTATGGGAACTTCCATCTACAGGACAACCATTTAAATATTGTTCACTTTATGGTAGTCATGGAGCAATTAATGCACTTGATTTTGATAATGAAGGAGTAAATAAATTATAATTTAAAATATTATTTGTTTTTTTTATTTAATAAATAATAGGCTCGTTTATTAGCTGGTTGTTCAGGTGAAAAAGCATATATTTGGTCATATAGTGATTATCGTATACTTAAAGATACATTTACTGGTCATAAAGGTCTTATATATACTTGTAAATTTATTTCTGGAACAAAATTAGTAACAGGTAGTGCTGATCGATTAATTAAAATATGGGATTTACAAAACCGACAATGTAATATTTATTTAAAAAAAAAAAACAAAAAACTTGTATATTAATTTTATATTTATTTATTTTAAGGTACACGAACTTTATTTGCTGGATCTAAATGTCATGATTTAGTTGTCATAGATGCAGCTGGTACAATAATAAGTGGACATTTTGATAAAAAAATTCGTATATGGGATGCATATATAGATAAATGTCGAACTGAACTACAATATAATGCATCAATTACATCATTATCTTATAATGTTGGTATGTAAAAAACAAATATTTTCTATAAACAAAAAAAAAAAAACAGAATTTGATTGATTTGCTTTTTTTGTTGTTATTAAATAGAAAAACATCAATTATTAGCATGTTTTCGAGATGATACACTTAAATTAATTGATTTAAGACAAAATAATATTATATATTCATTAAGTCATAATGATTTTCAAGTTAGTACAGATACAAATAAAGCTATATTATCACCTGATGGTCATTATGCATGTGCTGGTTCTCAAGATGGATCTTTATTTATATGGAATACAACAAATGGAATTTGTGAAAAAGTCTTGAATAAAAAACATACGTATGATATAAATAAATAAATAATTAATTAATTTTTGCTATTTTTATGTTTTTATGTTTTTTTTTAGAACAATGGTTACTGCAGTTGCATGGCATCCTGAAGGAAGATATGTTGCATCTTGTGAAAAACATCGACGAGTAATTCTTTGGAGTGATTAAACATTTCTAGGATTGTTTTTAACTAACAAAAAAAAAAAAAAAACAAATTAAATATTTTTGTGATAGTAGAAGAAAAGTGACTAAAGTCATGTATATATATTTAATAGAACAGTCTAAGGTCCGATTAGACCTATGATTTCGACAAACCCTTTAATATCGGTCAATCATACATATATATATTTTTCTTACAAATGTAAGCTTACTTGGGAACGTTTTCAAATGTTCAATAACTTTTGAGTTCAAACTCTGTGCATAAAGTAGAGCCCATTGGGAAATGAAAAATCCGAAAACGAGAAGTGTTCTTAGACCTTCTGTCCACAGTTATAGGTATTTTACGGTAAATTTAGCCTATGGCATGGTATATACCAAAAAATCGAATAATGGTATTTCGAGCTGAGATTTAGTCCACAGACAGGCCTATTGCTGAGCAAAATGTTTCTTTCCCGAGATATATTGGAGTCTCAAAAAACAGAATATTTTAGTATCATTCATAGGACACGAGTGATTCTTGGACCTCCAATATCTCAGGAAGAAAACATTTTGCTCAGAAATAAGCCTGTCTGTTAGCTAAATCGCAGCTCGAAATACTACCATAGACTAAAATGCCTGTAATTCTGGACAGAAGGCTTAAGGACATTTATTCTTTTGGGATTTTTCATATTCCAATGGGCTCTACTTTATGCACAGAACCTGAATTCAAAAGCGATTTGGACACTTGAAAACGTTCCCTTGTTAGATGCATTGAATAATGGTGATGATTGAAAGAAATGTTGTAATGATAAGAAATTTGACAAGATTATTTGTGAAAACGAATTTTGAATGTCGAAATTTCGAATCTAGTTTTTAGCCCGATTGGATCGCTTGAGTGATGACGATTTAATTGATTGACTTACATCATTGTTTATACTAATTCTGAAGAAAAATACGATCACCTTTTCAAAATACATGATTGACCTACATTATAGTAGTTATAGTTATTAAAGGTCAAGTTGCACCTTAGATAATAGCATTTCGTTTCGACCATTTTATACTAATCTTGATATGATTCATTTATTATAAAAAAACAAAAAACAAAAAACAATAATTTATTTTTATTGTAATTTATTCTTTTGAAAAATGTATTTCAATAAAAATTCCTATACTTTCCAGAAAAACAATGATGTTTTTGTTTTTTTTGCTTGTTGCTATATTATAAAAGGAAATTATTATAGTTTCAAAAGAAACGAAGAATAACAAAAAAAAAAAAATAAGTTTTTCATATGTAAACAAGTACAAAATTTTATTCTATATTAATATTATTTTCCTGATAGGAAAAAAAAACTAAATTATTCAATGTACTGAGCTAGAAGTCATTGGTATAAATATCATGATCTTTTATATAAAAAAAAAATCTTCTATTTTTGTAAAACATAATTGCGTTCTATATTGAGAATGTTAGATTGCCTTTTGTTTTGCCTCATGAAATGGAAATGAAGATTAATATGCGTCTCTTTCATCATCGTTCTATATATCTATATATATCTATACACTGCAATGTATTATAATTATCACCTTACGTGACAAACACAAATTGTCAGTGAATATAATTCATAGACCAAATGACGTGCGTCTATTACTTGTCGTTTATAATATAAGCATCTGCATCATATTTGACATTTTTATTCCATAGAGATTAACTTAATGTGCTTTTCTTACTTTTTATATTAACTTTTTTCTTTTTGTATTTCATATGCATTCTAGAGAGACATATTAGGTAAAACTAATGGAAAATTTATTATTTCAAGCGTATTCAAATACATTAAAATAGTATTTATATTTTTCATAGAATAAAATAAATAATATTCATTGAAATAGAATAATAATTAAATAATATAAACAAATTGATATAAATTGTTCTATTTATAAAATATTTCTCAATAAAAAAAAAAAAGAAAGTTGATTATAATAAAAAAATGTTGTCAAACAATTTTGACATCTTCGGAAATTGTTCATGTCATGTTTCATATATAACATAAAATTCTATTATTATCTTGTCCTTTGTAAGATGAAAATATGAAACATAACAGAATTACTTTAATTTTTAATATGTAAATTTGTTTTTTGTTTGTAACATTTTAGTAGAAATTAAGCATGATATAAATTTCTTTGAAGTTATAAGTTAGTAAAAACTAATTGTAGGATTGCTATTGAATGTATAAGTTAAACCAACGATGATATATTTTTATTTTTAGTTGATAGAAATCTGTTTGAAAGTAGCATTTGTTTGTTGTCTACTATTATTATTCTCTAACGCGGGAAGTCTGCCAACTGATTAATTGCTTTTGAATCAGAACAATATGCATCATGTAGGTTTTAATGACTTTTTAACATCTTGAAAAGACTTCATGTTAATACTTTATTGCTACATTTGTATGGTAGTTTTATAAATTAAAGTTGTTGTGCGCGTCATAGAAAAGTCTATTTTAAAAAACGTTTTGGATAATTCGACTTGCTGCTATTCTGAAATAAGAACAACAAGTCTACCAATATACATCAACGATATAAAGACAAGCTATCACCAAAGCTACCATATCTTATGATACGAACAACAAACAGACATGAAACATCCTCACATGACGACTAGTACGCCGTTGTATTTATAAACACTATAAAAATACAATGTCTCAGGAGCACAAACTATTTTAAAGATATTTATAATTTATAAGAATTAATATGATGCACATTGTTTAGATTCAAAAGAAATTATATAGTTAGCGACCTTGTTTCATAAGTTTGTGTGATTGGAATTATTTATCTTCTTATGTTTCGATACTCTAAGATCATGTAATTAAATATTAAATTATTATTAAAAAACTTTCTTTCTTTCTTTTTTTTTTTTCTATATGCAATTTCATTCTTTCTTTTGTATAAAATAAAAGTTGCAAAGCAGAACAAAAAAAAAAAAAAAGACACAAATATGAGAAGACAAAATGCTATGAATTGCGTAAAAAGCACACACACAAAAACAAATGAAAACACAAAAAATAAAGTCATTCATTATGTTTATTTATTTATTTATTTTTTTCTATATTCATTAAATAAACCGGTTATGAGCATTTTATATGTTCACCGTCATCTATCATTAGAAAATTTGTTATTAAATTTATTTTATTTGTCTAGATGTGTATCACAGCGTATCACACGGCTGCTTTAGGATTGCCGCTATTTCTTGTACTTGTTGCTATATTTGATGATACCGGTATATGTGTATACTGGTCTCCATATAAATTTTCTAAATATTCTTGTCGTCGAACTTTTTCATTTAAACCTTTACAACGACAATAAATTATTTCACGAAATGGTGTACGAAATTCTCGATTAAATTTGGAATAAATTAATGGATTTAACATTGATGATGAATACCCAAACCATAATAAAACAGGATCAATCCATATAGGTGCATTTAATGGTCTTCCTGTTATACGATCATATGAAGGTTTTATTAATGCATATAACATAAATGGAAGCCAACAAACAATAAATGTTCCTAAAATAACACCAAGTGTACGTATTGCTTTTTGATTTGGTAAATGAACATGACGAAATATTGAATAACGACGTGCAACAAATATTGATAAACGACCATTAAGTGTTGTACTTATACGACGACCTAAACATCGTGTTGGAGATAAAAGTGCTGAAGATTTTGTTCGTTGTGGTGGACTTGGTTCAGTACGTTTTATTATTCGATTACCACCTGTTGTTAATGAACGATCATCATGTGTATTTGTATTTGATGGATTTAAAAATAATTGTGGATTTGAACAACTATTTCCATTTAATTGTTGATCTAATACTTCTGATGTATGTCCAACATTTGTTGTTGAACCAGGACTTGTTAAAAATTGTGACATTTGAACACTTGATCGAGGATCCATTGCTGTTCGTGCCGTTCGATAGATATTAGCATAGATAATTAATACAAAAATAAGGGGAATGTAAAATGAAAGCATTGTTGCAAATATTTGATATTCTAATAGTGGATTTACTTGACATGTAGGCAAACTAGTGGATGGACCTTAAAATAAAATGAATTATTCTTAGAAGATTATTTTCATATAAGTAAAAAGCAAAAAAAAAACAATAGTTTATCACGATCGAAATTAATAAAAACAAAGAATATTGTACATATTAAAATATAGATAATCTATTCTGTCAGTTTCAATAACACTTAAGTGATTCTATATTAGAATTATATATTCAAAGATAAGTAGAATTTATAAAGATGTTTCTTGATTGATTTCTCTTCAATATAATCGTTGTTGATTAGAATTCCTTCCTCATTAAAAAAGAAATCAATCTTCATCAAAAAAAAAAAAAAAACTAAGACAAAATATATGAGTTTCATTCTTTTAGTAACAATATAAATTTTAAATTGAAACGAAAAAAAAAAAAGAACAGAAAACTTTTTAAGACATTCGATACAGAATTCTCTATAGACTTTCATTCTATATTTTTAATTTTTTGAATTAAAATGTACCTGTATGATAAGTGCTCCATTGTTTTTTTTTTGTGAGTCTTTCAAGATATTAAACTTCTTACTCTTGTTCTTTCATTAAAAATCAAAAAAAAAAAAGCTATGTCATGCCTTGCATATAAGTATGTTCTTTCAAACTCAAAAAGTAAATTAAATATCTAGAACAAAGAAGACTCACAGATAATATCGAGTTACTAAATGAATTACTTTTGATCTTTATTTGTTAAATATATTCTACAAATATAGGAGTGAAAATTTTATTATATAACCTTTTTACTAAAAATCTTAATATATTTTAAAAATTTTATATGATTTAAATGTATCTAATTTAAGATCCATTTTTTTTTGAGAGTAAAACTTAATAAAATATCGAACACTTATAAACTAATTATTTGACAATACATATATTTCAGAAAATTAACTAATACTATTTGTAAAATAATTATACTTATTAATGATTACTATAATTAATTTTTTTATTTATCTATGAAAAATAAAACTCTAATCAAAACGAATTAAAATTAGAAAATTTCTCACATAGTTTTTTTTTTTTTAATACAAAAATCAATTATTTGATACATACGTCCCCAGCCTAAGATGGGTGGTAATGAAACAAGTGCGCTAAGTATCCAAACACCAGCTATCATTAATGAAAGTAATTTAACTTTACGCATAGGTGCATATTTAAACGGATGATTAATAATACAATAACGATCAATTGATATAACGAGAAAATTTAATATTGATGAAGTACATAGAAGAACATCAGTCGATGTCCATATGTCACACATGATTGAACCTAATATCCATTGATTATTAGATATTTCAAGCACTAGAAACAAAAACAGAATAATTTGAATTATATATATATATATTAAGTAATAAAAAACTTACCCAAAGCCAATGGCATAATAAATAAACCGACAAAAATGTCACTAACAGCAAGACTAACAATAAGTATATTTGATGCTGTTTGTAATTTTCGTACAAGAGAAACGGCAAGTATAACAACAAGATTTCCAACAATTGTTAAAATACACATCAATGAACAAATACTAATAATTATAATTAATTGTGCTGGATTTCGAGTGTCATTTTCATTAGGGTTTGTAATATTAGTTGTATTACTAAGTTCATCATTTATTGTTGTTATTGTTGACTGTATTGTTGATGATAATAAAGACATTGTTGTATATGTTGTTCGTCGTCGAGAACTATTAAATATTGTTGTTGTTCCATTTGTCGATATAATAGAAGATAAAGATGAAGTTCGTTGTTCTTGTTGATTGATAACTTGTTGTTGGACAGCAGAAACTGATGAAAGTAATGAAGCAATTGATAAAAATGAAACAAATATTGATGTACGTCTTGAATAAACTGCCGGATGAAATATCGACCACGACAGTCGACAGATTCGACGACTGCATAAAAACGCCAATGTCGACTCTAAAAATAAAATTTCTTATATTCATATAGCAAAAAAAATGTTTAGTTTTTTTTTTTTTTTTTTTCTTATAATAATAATTTCTACGTCAATGAGTTCTTGATTTCCTTCATTAAAAATATAAAGAAATATATATATGTTTAATGTATTTTTCACACCGGAGATTGGTTTTTACTTATAGTGCATTTAACTTTTACGTAGTATCATCGATTATAGATCAAAGCAAACTAAATGCGAGAAAAATGGTTAAAAAGAATGTATTTCATAATGTTTTGCCCTTTTGAAAATACATTCTTAACGTCATTTTTTTTTTGTCTTCTTCATACATATAATTACTCAATTAGATTGACAAATGATTGTCACATAGAAGGTTATATAAATGTTACATTTTTTTAAGTAATTTTGTTCTAAAAAAAGATTTTCTTTTATTAGATTTCGATGTTTATGTTGATATACATATATATGATCGGTATTTTGTTTTAGATAAATATCTACTGGTATTTTAATTATGTAAATAAATATATTTTTGTATGTACCTAGTATTGTTCATATTAACCGCAAAAATTTATGAATAAATATAATTAAAAATTTTTATAAACAAAAAAACTTTCAATGTTAAAAAATTCTTTATGATATTTTAATCAATATAAATATTTCTATTTATACATTTAAGAAAAAAAAAAAAAACTGTTGATTCAAATTAATAAAACTATTGTAATTGTATACAATCTTATTTATGTTTTTAATATTTGATACTTGATGGTGTTGCTTACCTAACGTACTTACTTTTATTATATGATTTTACTTATCTTAGTTTCAAAGTATTTTGACATATTAGAATGTTAAAGGTTGAAATTTAATATCTAATCTACCTTTAGATTATGTTATAAAATGTCTACTCAATCAAATGTTCACTATGAAACGGAAGTAATGAACTAATCAATTGATAAATACAAAAACAATTGTACGAACTTAAGTTTTTGATAAAAAATAAAACAAAACTAAGAAATATTATTCTATAAAAGGAATAGATTGATTAATATAATATAAAAATCAATTTAGAATGAATATTTGAGTACTATTACACGATGTACATATCGTTCAATTGATTGACATCTAAAAAAAAACAAACAAGAGCAAAAAATGTTGGGTGAACGTGACGTATAGTCTTTTTTGTTAGAAGTATCACCGTTTTTAATGATAACGAACTTCATGAAGAAGATATTCTAAATGATGCGGTAAAAGTATTCGGGACGTTAAGAACATACTTCCGTACTTCTTTAGATCAATGATATCATGCCAGCTATACTTTTTGGTATGCTCTATCAATTAGACCAATTAGTATTAAGGATGTCGTTGATCTATAGAAGAACTCATGTTTCGATCTGCATGTTCAACAAAAAAAAAGTCTTCTTCAACTATTAGCCAACATCTGGAAGCTATTTTCTTCTACTCTTATATATTTTTATAATTAATAGATGAATGACCTCGGCCTTCATATAGATAGTACTTATTTTATTAATTATTTATCGTTTCTTTTTCTTTTTCACATAATATAATTAAAATAACATCGATTATGTACATATGTTCTTTTTTTTAATGTATACATACATACCAAAAAAAAAAAATGGAAGAGAGAAAAATGATTCAATAAATTGTTCTTTTTCTTAGGATGACCAAAAAACCAAGACTATTATTTAATTTCTTAATGACAATATTTTACTTTTTGTAGAAGAAAAAAAAAGGTCAATTATTATATTTAAAAGCATTTAAATTAAAAAGATTTCTTCAAATTATATATACTTTATCAATATAAATGAGTCTAATTTATTCATATATGTAATAGATTTTTCATTGAAATACGATCGAAAAACTATATTTACTCACTAACTCAAATGACGTCAAAAAAATACATCTTAAATTCACTCAAAGACACGCACACTTTCATGTTACTAGAATATCGATATTGGCATTAGTTTTCGTTGACCTATTTATAAATCGATTTATGTCAGAGGACATATATATATATTATAGATTGCCTAAGGCATTAGAAAATTTCTCTGAAGTTTAACAAAGCCATTTTGTTTGTACATACTAAAATAACATAGATCGCATCTATATGTTACTATAGATAGTGCCCGAAGTCGAACATATCATATTATAGATAATTCGGTTGTCGATCTCCAAAGTATTTATTCACTATTTTTAGTTTCTTGATATAATTATATGTATGATCGAGTCAATTGAGAATACCAAATATATATATATATATTGTCATATGTCTTATTTTAAATAATTTTTCGATTAGTTATTGTTCATGAGCATGTTAAAAAGATCGAGAGAAGAGAATGACCTACTTCAAAGTGGTTTGATCGATATTATTATTACTGCTTGAAAATGTTTTGATCTTAAGATTTCTTTTTTTTTCCTTTAAGTTTCAAGACTAGTTATTACGAATTCAAATTAAATATAAAAGGTAATAATTATAAGATTTCCTAAGAAGAAAGAAATTACAGACTTGTCTCAAGATAATATTCGAAATACGTTCTTTGATTATGTTATATTTATCACAACGAATAATTTATACAGTAGTTTTATGTTTCATATATTGAAAAGTATGATACATATGACAGATTTTTATATTAGTATGCAATATTTACCATAGCTTTTCATCGTGCATGGTCGATAATAATGAAGATGAACACGGAAGGATCACGACGAAAAAAAAAAATAAGATGATTGATATAGACTTATATAATCAGCTATAAATGAAGACTTTATCTAGAAATATAATAATAATCGTAGAAACAAACAAGAATAAAACAATATTCATCAATTCGACAATCTAAGATGTTATTTTCATAATATGAATAGATTTTAACGAATTTTTTATTTTTTTTTTTCTTTCCTTCTTTCTTTAAATATTATAAAAGAGAAAAGTATATATATTTTTTTTTCAAGAGTAAAATAGATCTTTCTGTTATGACAAAGTTCTTCCTGCTGTGTACATTATTACATTGAAATAATAGATGTTTCTTCTCTCTGTGATCTTTTGTTGTTTATTATTGTTGTTATAAAGAAATCGTCAATGTATATATGTTGACAAGCGAGATATTACGGGATGACAATGATCCTAAGTAGTTTCGTACGAGTGGCTTAAAAGACAAGGCTAATCTTGAATGCTGTCTATCTATACTGTCATACTCGCTTTATATTTGGTTATAATTCACGTGTTTCGGCGCCCATTCAACACAGCTATTATTTGTTACGATAAAACTAGAAGTAATAGAAAAAAAAAAAAAAAAAAGAAAAAAAAAGAAGAAAAAAAAAAAAAAAAAAAAAAAAGAAAGAAAAAAGAAGAAGAAAAAAAAGAAGAAAACTCGTCGTTCTCGTCTTTCATATGTAATCGTGGATCGGCTGGTTGTTACAGCAATTAGGAAGAGGTCTCTTCTCTTTTTCTTTTTCTTTTTCTCGGCTTTCCTTCTCCCTTCAATTTCTCTTGCATCACCATTAGTTTATATATATATAGTAGCGGCCAATTTGAATGCATGGCCAAATTCGGGTAAACGAGAACGACCCGAACAGAAAAACACAGGCGCTCACGTCAACCAAGCCACCATCAACAGAAAGATGATGAATACTTGTAGAGCAGACAAACAACAACGGCTGCTACATTAGAACAAGCAAAGCAGGAAAAAGAAGATAAGATTGATTTGTCGGGCAGGCAAGATGCTCCTTGTATGCACTTGGCAATGTGCGACCACTGTGTCTACAATGCTTTCTTATTCTCTCTTGTTTTTCTCTTATATAAGCAACGGTAACACTAGTATGTTTCTCATTCGCTAGTTGAATGACGTCCTTCATCTAACATGCGTGTACGCATGTATATACACATAGACATCAAATGTATCTATCTCTAAACATGACGTGGAAAAGCGTTGGTTGGCAAAAGATCATCACTAGATGTTGTGTTGATGTATTATTTCTGTTTCTCTTCAACAGTCACAAACACACGAATAACATCAACCAATATATCCTATGACGTTTTTCTTTCTTTATTTCGCGCTTTATTGGCAACGACAAATTCACTAGGGACATATACGCATATGAACGAATAACAAACGTTTTGAACATTCTCTAATATTCTTCTCGATTTTTTTTTTGTTTTCTTCTTTCTTTTTTATCAAATATAATAAACATCAATCATTAGATTGCTCAAGGTATTCATAGATATATATGCTCATCATCTTCAAAAGATAACGAAAATTACATCTAGCAATTACTATGAATAGCTGATGAAGCAGAATGATCATCATCATTAAAATACAATTTTCCGCTTGTTGATTCGAACACTAGACATAAACGAAATGATACTAAGCTTAGAAAAAAATTTATTTTTATATATACGTATATATATATATATTTGAGACTAGCAAACATTATTTATTATTATTATTATTGTCAAACAGAAGAAGAAAAAAAAAAGAAATATTGACATCCGATAATCTTGATCTTTATACAGCTGATTATTTTTTTCTTGTAAACAATTCATATTTTAGTGGTCATTAGGCAAATCTTTCAGGATATGTCTAAATCTATTTTCAGATGAAAACATTGTAAGCTATCATAAACTACTAAAAATAAACATGATGACTACTTATACTTTTTACGTAAGAAATATGGCATGATAAAAATAAAATGAACTTACTAAGATAGAAACCAAATATCTTCTGAACTGTTGAGATTTTTCTTTTTTCAAGAATACATCTTACTCTTTCACCTGATTTCATTATACTTTTCAAGTACATAAAATAAATTAAGTTTTTTTTCAAAATATCGTCTCTCTTTCTTTCTTTCTATAAGTACTTCATCATCAATATATTACACATACAATGTAACTTACGATAATACTAAATGAATCACTAAATAAATGAAATAGTAAAGCCTGTAGTGTATTGAACTGCGTGAGATGCTATATAGATGAGTAAATGTTGATGATGATGATTATTTCTAAAAAAGAGATGAGAACTCTCTTTCTCTTTTGTAAGATGTCTGTCTAACATCAAGCTTCCGGCTCTTGCTCTTCTAGTTCCTTTCTATGCTAGTGCGCATCTAACAAGAGCAATATATTATTGAAAACTCATTTTGTTCTTGTCTCTTGTTCTCTGTGCAAAAAAAGCTCTCTGTCGGTCTTTCTCTTCCATTACAATGCTGAACAAGTGAAGACAACGATGACGCCCTAATTTGTTCAACTTCACAGACTTTCGCTTCTATTCGACTAACTGAATGAATGAATGTGTATGTCTAGTAACAACCGACTGATTTCTAACATATTGGAAAAAAGTTCACAATACAATTAGTTTATATTTCCATTGTTTATCTCGAAGATAAAAATCGATGTCGACACTCAAGACATCACATAGAAAGTATCACGAAATATTTGATTGTCATATTCAATAGATAGAAATACTAGAACAATCAATATTGATTTTGTCAGCCACCTGATATAATCATTGTCATACTACTCATATTTGCGTGTGACACATAAAATATCATTGTTCATTATATAAAACTACATTATTATTAGTTTTTTTTTTTTTTTCATATCATTCTGTCTATCTTTACTAACAATAAGACAAGACAATAGTTGTAAAATCAACTAAAATAACTTACGACAATCTATAGCAATTGACGACACCGAACTCGACAGCAAGCTCGCCCGGTCAACATGGAAACAACAACATAAATATATACAGATTCTTTTTTGCTCTCTGTCTCTCTCTCTCTCTCTCTCTCTGTCTCTTGCTTTCCCTTATACGCGTTGACAACTTTC